TATATATATATATAGATAGATATTGGGTCTTCTTAAAACTTATGTCGGTTTATTAAATAAAAAAATAAAAAGGCAATTATTTATTTTCTGTATTAACTTTACTCAACAACAGACTGGTTTGTTCCATTATGTCCTGCTATTTTTTCAGGCAATTTCATAATTAGATCTTTCTAGAATTTTTATTTTTTCATCTTACTGAGTAAAGAACTGCTCTCGGTGTCTTTCGCAGACCTAAATAAATGATAATCCGAAAGGGCAATATTTGATGAATTCACTTGATTAATCAAAACTTCCCAGCTAAACAGCAACATTTTTTGCCTGGTCACCAAACAAATAACCAAAAAAAAAAAAAAAAAACCAAAAAAAACGAACCCAAACAAACAAACAAGTACCCACCAATAACCATCTAACTCATACAAACCTATCATGACACGCACGCACGCATCTGTATATGGATGCGCTTGTAAGGATCATCGCACGGATGTATCGGTTTTTGGTTAAATTATGCATCCAGAAAATAGGCGAAGAATTTTCTATGCATCTGTTTTGAAAAAGGAAACCTGGAAGAATTTTCTGACTCTTATAGAGATACCACAGAGGTTTATGGTAATAATAATGGTGAAAGAACAAAACGTTTCCATACAGGAAACATCTGGCCTTTATTGAGCTGACAGTGTTAATGTCGGCTGAAGTTTACAAAAATATTTTTCTTAAAAGAGTTTTTCAGAAAAAACAAAACAAAACATAACAAATCCTGTTCCCTGTTATCGCTCTTTCTACGATTAATTGGAATTCTTAGCCTTTTGTTTCAGGTAGTGTCAAATATCACTACTTTAGTCCTGATCTGGCGGCTCAGATTCATTTACTTGCCCACCAGGTTGGCTCTCTGTAACTTTTTTTTATAAATACTTTCATGGTAATTGTTCGGATGAGCTCTTCGCTATGGTACCTGGATTGTATGAATTTGAGCGCAATACTTGACTGGCGGTGACATTATATCAATTTACAGTTGGGCTAGCTAGATGTAGCCGTAACTTCTCTGCTAACAGTTTTTCCCCGCGTCAATCGCTCATGGAACTCCCTTCCGGCTCCTTGCTTTCCAGCCAGTTTTAATCTACAAGAATTTAAATGCAAGGCCAATCACTATCTACTGTCCTCCTCAATGTTCTTTTCTCTTTCTACTCATTACTAATCTTTCTGTTTCTAATTCATCCACACCCTTGCGTTTTAGTGGCTGTACTGTCTTGTTTGGGGTAACACTGGTGAAAAAATGTCATTATTTTCTCTTTTAGTTACAGGTGCTACCTATTTTAGTTGTTTTTATTGTTGGATATTTTCAAGTTATGTGGTTATTATTATTTGGTAAAGTCCTTTGTAATTATACAACGCCAGTCACTCGGGTCAGATGAATGATTGTCTTCTCTAAGACACAAAGAATTCATTTGCTTGTAGCCACTTTTTAATTATTTCTCCGAGAAAATGATTGTATATAGCTGATAGTTTACACGTTTCTGGTGGTTTAAATATTTCTGAACGAGTTGGACACCATGCCTGACACCGATATGATAGCCAAGATATGACTAGAGTTAACACGTGACCTACCTCTAGATAGATGGAATAAATAGATGACAGAACAGGTTTTAGGAGAGATAACAAAAAGGGAAAATTTATTAAGAACTACAAAGGACAGGAAATCGTGGAGAGCCATGATCAGTAATATCCCGAAAGGAAACGTCACGTAGAAGAAGAGGAAGAAGAAAAGTATTAAATAAGTATTTTCTAAGGTGTTGGACAAGAGAACATCTAGCGGAATATATCCTATGTTTAATCTCCTTATCTTCTATTCTGAATATGTTACAACTGATCTATACATCGGAGTATTTGAAGTGTTTTTAATTCATTAATTCCGCATTCTGAATGCTTACGATGGATTCAGGTTATGCGCCATTACTGTTCACATTCTAATTCCCGATCATAGATTCTATTTTGGAAATGTTTATCTTCAGTTCTACGACTGTTAAATTTCAAACTTATATTATCAATCCATTACGAGTATATACATATGCAATGACCCGGTTTATATCAATGATTGTCATTTACCCGAAAAATTGGCTTCAATTAAACGGTTAAATCGACTCTTCACTTTGTCAAATGGTTCACTTCACTGAAAAATCCAAACGTAGAAAACTGAACGGAGATAACTGTTATATATTAATGATGCTTTTTAAAAATTATGCATCACTTAAAAATTGCACTTGGTAATATGATTGTTGCTTATTTACGATAATGAATGATTGACAACAAGTCAGTATGTTTAAGAGTATTATTTAATGTTAAAATCAGTTAAAGCTAAGAAATTGATTGTCTTTTTCTGAACAACGGAAATAAAATCTATCTATAAAATTCTTTGACTTTCGTCCGTCCGTCACAACCTCCAAAACAGACATACATTGACCGATCGAAACCAAATTTTGTGGAAAAGTGCAAACAGGTAAGAATTTACAAAGTATAGTTGGGATGCGTAGCTTAATACAATAAATTTTCATTAAATTTTTGGAAAAATTAAAAGTTTTATTATTTAAGATACAAAATACTTCCACTATTTTAAAAACAATTTAACATAAATACGTATTTAATAAAAATGCAATATGGTTTCTTGCATATCTTTTTTAAATAGTTTTATATACAAGAAACCAGTTTTTAGCTCGCCCTGCGTTTGCGAGAACTATCAACAGATCACACGGTTAAACGTTTTAGAAAATTGGAATTTGTCACCAGAAAGAAATATTTACGTATGGCCAGTTGTATGTTGCATGCTTAAGAGTAAGAAATCCTAAGAATTTATTTTTCACTGTTAAAAAGGGAAAAAAATCCGAAATCTTCCATAGAATCTTAAAAAATAAAATTTACAAAAATTGATATCCCATGTAAATCGAAGAGAAAATAATGACATAATCAAGTTATTGATATTCCACGCCACTTCAAATAAAAGGTTAGTAAGGAAACTACCATCAATACTAGAAAGAGCAATAATAGATACTGGACTTAGGAAAACTATTTTCCTGGAAAAATTTTCAGAGAGTGATTTTATAAATTACAACCTACTGTAGTTCTGGTTGCTTGGCCAATGAATGCCGAGTGTTTCCTTATAAGGAAACGGCAAGTATTACTATGACCATTACTATGTATTCAGAGATTCTAGACAAAATACAAAGAAGAATTTGCACTGTTACTGGCCTGGCATCTTATCTTCAGTCACTTTCCCACAGCTATAACGTAGCTTACCTGTTCTACTATAAACATTTTCATGGTAGTTGTTCTGAAGAACTTTCCTCTTTGGTATATAGACTTTATGAATATAAAGGCAGTATCAAATTGGCGGCAAAGTCTCATCCTTTTACAGCTAAAATGGCTACATGTATGCTAACAGTTTCTTTTCTTACACATCTTATGGAAATCTCTTCCAGTTTCTTGTTTTCTAGAAGTTTGATCTTCAAAAATTTAAATGCAATGTCAATTGTTATCTCCTGTCTTCTTAATTCCTGTTTTTTATTTTTCTTCTCTCTCCCCGTAAATATTTTTTTGTTTCTGTCATATTCTTTCACAGTAGCCTTCTTGCGCCTTAGTGACTTTATTGCCTTGCTTGGAGAGAAATTACTAGAAAACAGACCATCCAGTGTTTCACAGTAATTGACCATGTTAACTGTCTAACCATGCGGTAGGAAGTCTGTGAGCAATGAATTTTTCGTAGCCCAAAACAGATTTGCCATCAGTGTCTGCGCTGAAAATTTGGCGGATGCTGGTGATGACGGATGTTTTTACGTCACGGAATAAAACTTTATCCCTGGGGTAATGTGACGTGCCCTCGTCATTCGTGATCATGTGCTCCAGAAGGTTCCAATCAGTTTTAAAACTGGAAAGGAAAACCTATATACCGGAACTTGTGTTCTTTAGTCAATTCCTTTTGAACGAAAAGTTAAATTTTTGGAATTTGGGTAGCAGAAAACTTTATTACACTTCATACTTCTATGTTAGTCTACTCTTTTATTATGGCATTCATCTTTCTTTTGACGTCACATAAACATATGCTGAAAATTAAGGCCGTTCTGGCTGCTAAAAGAAGTACTCCACACCCACTGTTGATTTATATTTACAGTTTTCCCATTATTTATATCTAGTCACTTTATACCTATCCTCATCTAATTTTCAGACATCCTTCATATCTATGTCAATAGATCGATTAATTTGGCTTTTACGGCTTATCGAATTTTCACACATCCTTCGTATCTATGTCAATAGATCGACTGGTTTGGCTTTTACAGCTTATCAAATTATTGTCAGTTATTTAAAGCTTAAACACATTTGGATTGTCAGAATAACTCTCTCTCTCTCTTTTCTAACAAAACTTTTGAGAATAACAATGATTTTTTACAACTCCTACTATTTAACCCCTTGCTGAAAAATTAATTAAGAGAGAGAGAACAATAAAAGAACAGGAATTAAAATGAGAAAAGATAACGATTGACATTACATTTAAATCTTTGCTGAGCAAAGTTAGCTAGAAAACAAGAGACCGGAAAAGAGTTCTACAAACGAGACGTGTGAGAGAAGAAACTGTTAGCATAGAACTTACGGTTCTATCTAGCTTTTTTTAACTGTCAGATCTAGTACTGCGCTTAAATTCATAAAATCTAGGCACGAAGAGAGGTTTATCAGAACATTTACTATGAAAATATTTATAGAAAAGGCACAGGGAAGCGACGCTACGGCGGTGGGAAAGTGATTGAAGCCGAGATGCCAGGTTAGGGACAATAACATTGCACATTATTTGTATTTTACCTAGAATCGCTAAATACATGATAATGGTGAAGAAGTGAATGTAACCAACTCGACTGTAATTCGAACTCTGCGCTCTAAGTTTGCATTCTAAGCCGCAATCCATTACCCCGCACTAGAATTTCCATGTTAATAGATAAATTATCTCTGTCAATATGTGTAAGCATGTCCATCTACTTTTTTTTCTTCCTTTTTCTTCCTTCCTTCCTTTCTTTCTTTCTTTCTTTCTTTCTTCTTCTTAATTTCTGCTTCGGTTTCCATTCTTACTCTTTGTTAGTGTCTACTTCTTTCTGTGTCGATTATTTGTTATATATTCTCTACCTTTTACTATGTAGGAGAAATAACGCTAAATTGGCCAACAGATCGAAATGCTTCATATTTTAACAGTGATAAAATAGCCTACTTGATTTTAATTAGGCTGTAACCAAAATCTCTCCATGTGTATTTCTAAAGGAGATGAAAATTGGTCGACAAGCGCCTCAATTATCGAAAATCAAAATTTTCCCTTCATTAACTGGCTCATTTCTCTCTATTTATTTACCTATTCATGAGTTTATGTATCTATCTATCTATTGACCTGCTGGGCAACTGAGGTAGGAGGTAGTTCGTTTTCAGCGTAAATAATGGCAGTACAAATCGAGGCAAAAACCAATATTTTTAAAGCTTAATTTCTATAAATTTTTCGAGAGTTGTTTTCCTTCGATTTCCTACCTCTAAGTAGGTATTCAGTTCCTTAACTGACAATTCTACATTACATTACTCATGGGACCTATCTGTCTGTCTTTCTATCTATCTTTCTATCTGTCTGTCTTTCTATCTATCTTTCTATCTGTCTGTCTCTCTTTCTATCTCGTATATCATCTTTAGATGACGATAATGAGTTTAACATAGTGGTCAGGAAGTGATGTTTGAACAAAAGGCTGGTTATCAATAGTAATTTTATCTTTTTTTTATCTTTATTTACATGTACTGAGAGAGCAAATAATACATTAGATTATTATCTAGCATTCATTTTCTTTTTTTTAAAATAATTTCACACCAAACAAGGCAATAAAGCCACTAAGATGCCGGGGGTAACTGAGCGTGAAAGAATATGTAAAAAAGAAAACATTAAGGACAGAGAAAAATAAAAGTACAGGAATTTGTTTAGCGGTATATCAACTCCTTATTTAATGCCGAAATTTTCTTGGGGGCATTACTAATTTCTTTTACAAAAATATATTGTTGGTAAGTAATTTTTTACAAAAACGTATTACTGGTAATTTTTTTTACAAGAGGTATTGCTGGTAATTTTTTCCTATGAAAATTTATCCCTGGCGATAAAAAATATATTTTTTATAAATTCGTAGCGTTTTTGACCCCTGTTTTGAGGTTAACTATATGCCTATAGTTGGGACCCTAAGAGGTGCTACCTCCCCGAAGTCAGGGTAGACGTGGGAACAACAGCAATTAAGATGTGATTCTACGCTCCTCAAAACCTCCAGTCTCCCGATCAGAGACTTGGCTGCCGGATGTAGTGCATCAAAAAGAATTAAGAAAACAGACAATAACGATTGGAATTTCATTTAGATTTTTAAAAATCAAAGTTGACTGGAAAGGCAAGAAGCTAGAAGAAAGTTTCTCAAACGAGAAGTGTAAGAAACGGAAAGTCTCAGTATAAGACTTACAGTTATATCTATCCATTTCAACTGTAAAGTGATGAGACCTAGCAGCTAATCTAGTACTGAACTTAAATTCCTAAAGGCAAGGTGCCAAAGAGGAAAGTTGATCATGGAAAAGATTACCATGAAAATATTTATAGAAAAGGCACCGAGAAGCTAAGTTACGGCAGTAGGAAAGTGGCTGAAACCGAGAAGCCAGTTTAGATTTTCAAATGTTTAAACTATCTTTCAATTTATTTCAGTATTTTTATTCGTCCTTTGTTTCTTCTCTCGTTCGTGCTTCCGTTATTTATTTTTATAATAATTAATCATTCATTTCTGTCTTAGTTCTTTGCTTCCTTCTTTTCCACTAATATTGTCTATCATTCCTTCTGATTCTCTATCTCGTTTCGCCATTGACATCCAGTTCATTACCTCTGGACTATTTGCTTTCTTAAGTCAAAAAAACATTACAGTTTACATGATCTTCGTTTCTCAACGAAACAATACTCTAAAGTCGTTATTTACTTCATCACGGGGGGAAATATGACACAAGATTAGGTTCAGTGTAGGATACGACAAGCATACCAGTTGGCAATAGTAAAAACTACCCAATCCTACCAGATTTTTACTGTACGTATCCGCGTTTGTCCCTGCAGTGTTAGTTCAATATGGAAGGGTATGACGTAATTTAAAAAAGAATAATCATATCAACCATTACTTCCGTTAGTTTTCCCTCGCGTTTCTGTTAGTTTTTCGTTTATTATGTCTATGTCTATTTGGTAAGGATTTTCGACCGGAACTTGTCCTGGGTTCATTGTAAGGTCGGATATAACTCTTGATTCATAAGATATTCGAAGATGATCATTGGACACGATATGTCAATTCTTCCTATTTATAGAACTAGAATTTTAGGGGCAACACGCTGACGCGCATTGAAATCCTCACAGTATTTAGTATTGTTGATGTTATCAAACGGTTGTTTAATCTACAGAGAACACTATTTTCTTCAGTAACATTTCTAGAATGAGCAGGCAGAGAGACATAAATACGAACTGTTTAATAAAAGGGAAAAACGGGCGTCTATTTCAAATAAGAAATCTCCACTAGAGTAAAATTTGAATATATATCTATATATATATATATATATATGGATATTATTAGGGTCAATATATATATATATATATATATATATATATATATATATATATATATATATATATATATGGATAATATATATATATATATATATATATATATATATATATATATATATGGATAATATTAGTGGTCAATATATATCTATCTATATATATATATATATATGGATAATATTAGTGGTCAATATATATCTATATATATATATATATATATCTATATATATATATGGATAATATTAGTGGTCAATATATATATATATATATATATATAGTCAAACCTAAAGAGTCAGACAAAACTACCAAGGTTTCACCTAAACGGATCGTCAGGGAAATAAATTTTCAAGAGTATAGAATTCAGATAGAACTAAATGCCTAGGACAGAGTAAGAAAATAATATAAAAGTCTCAAACACTAATATTCCATGGTTATAATTTATTACATTGGAATCGTAATCACGATCCAATTCATCAGACCTACAAATTCAAAAAGTGTTTGAGCCTTATATATATATATATATATATATATATATATATATATATATATATATATTTAGAATTTTGAAGTAATATATCTAAGGATATGTCTCTATATAGATATATTTAGAAACTTTTGCAACACACTGACGCTTGCTGAAATCTTCACAATTGTTGAAATTATCGCAAACATTTTTGTCGAGATTTACAAACTCTACATTTCGTTCAATTTCGCAAAGCAATCGGTGAAATTTGAATAAGCTGATTTGTTCTGAAAAATGCTTTGACAAAAACACTACTTCGCAGTATACAACTATATTTTGTACCTCCTAACCTGTTTGCACTTCTCCCCAGAATTTGGTTTCGATCGGTCAGTGTTTGGCTATTTTAGTGTATGTGACGGACTGACTAACGGAAATCACAGAAATATATATATATATATATATATATATATATATATATATGTGTGTGTGTGTGTGTGTGTGTGTGTGTGTGTGTGTGTGTGTGTGTGTGTATAGATAGATATAGATACAGATATATACTCATACTATACTCTCAGGTTTTGAACAAAATGAGAGTGGCTTAAAAGCTGGGAATTAGAAATCCCGTCAAACTCTAATACTTGGAGAGGATGGAATAAGTGGGGTGGTTGGAAAAACTTGAGCTGTTGGATTCGTCTAAAATTAATGATCAAGAAGCGATATAATTATTAAAGATCCGAGAATAATTATTTGCAAAAATTAGGTTTTTACATATATTCGTTCGTTTTGTTTTTCTGATGTTCTGCGAATGACCCCGAAGAATAATTTTTCGTAGCATTTTGTGCTTCTTATTAACTCTGGTCATCCTGTGAAACTGTTGTGTACCGTTATTGAAATTTCAGATGGAATGCCAAGTAGACAAGAATGAGCATTTTCGACATCTTCTTCTCTTTGCTTTTAAACAAGGTCACAAAGCTTCCAAAGCCGCTTGAGCCATTTTGCTGTGTACGGAGATGAAATGTTTCAAAACGATCGAACGGTCGATGCTAAATTTTATGTTGAACAAATAACAACCTAAAAGAGGCAATTCAGCTGAAAATATATAACCGACAATGCAGTCTGATTAACAATGACCAACCCTGATGTCGCTAACATGAATAAACATGCAATTCAAATTTTACCGCACCGATCATATTCTCCTGATTTAGCCTCTTCAGACTATCACCTTTTTCGGTGACTTTCTGACAATTTGAAGGGGTGGGGTCATTCAACAACGATTTTGAGCTTAAACTGTGGCTTGTTGAATTTTTCGAGTCAAAACCTAGTGGTTACTATTGTCGAGACATTGAACGGTTAGTAAATCGTTGTCAGGATATCATAAACAATGAAAGGGAATACATTGTTGAATGATTGATCATAACTATTAATAAATAATAAGTATTAAAATAATTATAAAGACGAACTAATTTATGTAACAATTTCATAAATAAAGTAACTTCTCGGTAATCAGTGTTGACTGCTGACCTGAGATGGAACAAATACATTGAGTCAATTGCTTCTTCCACCGCGAGGAAAGTTGGCTCTCTGTGCCGCGCCAGGAATTTTTTCTCCCCGGAATCGATACTTCAATATACAAATCAACCATTCGCCCTGCATGGAGTATTGCTGCCATATATGGTCTTGGGCACCTTCTGTTTACCTCGGAGTTCTTGACAAGATCCAGAGACGGATATGTAATATAATTGGCCCTGATCTGGCGTCTCGTCTACAGTCACTCTCTCACAGACGCGCCGTCGCCTCTCTCTGTCTTTTCTACAAATACTTTCATGGTAATTGCTCTGATGAGCTGCTTTCACTGGTTCCCAACCTCCATGAATTCAAGCGCCCTACGAGGCTGGCATCCCGCTCCCACCCTTACACTGTAGAAACTTTTAAATGTAGCCGTCTCTTCTACTCCAATAGCTTCATACCTCGCACCTCTCGCCTGTGGAACACCCTTCCCAATTAATGTTTCCCTGAGAACTATAATCTCCAACTATTCAAATGTAATGTCAATCGACACCTCCAGTCACCCTCTCCTCATCATTTCTTCTATCACTCCTATCTGTTCTTGCTCCAAATCTTCTGCAACCCCCTGCATCCTGGTGGCTTCACGCCTTGCTCGGGGCGTAATGCTTAAACAAAATTGAAGTTAATGTTAGAATTATTTGTATCTCTACTAATTTTAACAGAATGAGACTTGTGTTAATCTCTGAACATGCATGCTTAAAGTTAAAACAAATCGTTTTCTATAGTCAGGTATTGAATTTTCATGATGAAAGGGGTACAAAAATAAATAAAAAGATTAATAATGTTTAAAGAAAACTTTAAAATAACGATACTTTAATACTGTAGAGGACGATAAAAATGAAAGGCAGAATTCTTAAAAAAAAAAATTAACGAAAAAAATATTGTTAAAGCTTTTAGAAACAATAATTATCGAAAAATCGGAAGCCAAAATCATGAAACCGAACAGCATAGACAATTTGTTGAAATGTGGTAAAAAGCGAAAAATGATAGCATCCCAGAATCTTAATCCAAACAGAAGGGTTATCCTGACCTGAAAAATTACTTTGAGTCACATTTGAACTCTGTCGATGCCCCCCCGAATTAGAACATAAAACGATATACATCTGAACATGATAATGTCTGTCTGGAAACATAAACAACGAACCTAATAATGAGGAAGTAAATAAATCTATAAAAAGATAAAATATCACTTGATACTGAGGCCGAATTTTGGGAAATAGCGTACTCTCTCCCCGAATTTAAAAACAATTCATTAAATTTCATTAACGGAGTCTGGAATCAGAAGCTCTTACCCCTCCGACAAAAGTGGTGTGTATAGCACTATGGAAACAAAAAGCTAACGCCCAAGACATTCACATATACAGACGTATTTTTCTCGGTAGACGAAAATAAATACTCGTTTTAGTAAATAAATAGAGTGTTTACTCAAATATGAGTATCCGCAAAAATAACGTTTAAAGTGATAAAAAATATAGAGGTATCTAAATTGAACCTTTTATGGTGAAGGAATTAATGAACATTGTATTAACTAGGATATTACCATTCTAAGAAAATCAAGTTTACATGATCCACTTTGTGTTTCGCTAAGGTAAGGAGTGTAATGATGGTATATATATCATCAAACACCCCCCAAAAATTGCTTACCCTTCCAATAGAAAATTGTATACTTTATAGCAGCATACAACCACATCAATAGAGATTTCCTCTTCTCATCCTTTAGAAACCGTCTTCCAACCTTTCAAGCTTCAACATCTTACACATAACGTTAGAATTCGTCTAAGCACTGAATAATCCTGTTCCATCTGATCTAGTGCTTTTGCTATTTATTTTGAGATTCTTTATAATATCCAAGGAAGAATCTGCAATGTTATTGATCCTGACCTGGCATCTCAAATTCAGTCACTTTCCAACCTCCGTATTATAGCTTCACTGTGTTTTTCTTATAAATATTTTCAAGTTCATTATTCGGATAAACTTTCCTCTTTGGTACCTTGACTTTACGAATTTAAGCGCAGTACTGGATTGGCAGTTAGGTCACATAAGTTTACAGTTGAAATTGCTAGATGTAACTGTAAGTTCTATGCTAGCAGTTTCTTCTTACGCGCTTCTCGCTTTTGGAAGTCGCTTTTGGCTTCTTGCTTTCCAGTCATCAGTGATCGTCATAAATTTAAATGCAATGCCAGTCGTTATCTTCTGTCTTCTTAATCCCTGTTCTTTTATTATTCTCTCTGCTTAATAATGTTCTTTTCTCATATTCTTTCACACTCAGTAACCC